ATTGTATGGGAGGCGAAGTGGGCAAACAAAAAGAGGGGTAGACAACCCACGGAATGGGTCAAGGTTGTAGTGGACGTACGAAAGGGGCTCGACATCGACGAAGATGAAACGCTGGAAACGGAGGGTCTACAGGGGTTCAAGGAGAAGATATCTGTTGCTTGTGCCGAGAGAGAAGAACAGAATCTGAGGAAAGAATCCAAGGATAAGGAGGGTCTAGAAGTGTACGGAATGTTGAAGGAAGGAATAGGGTTCAAGAATTACCTACATGGACCAATGGATGCAGCAACAAAGCTCAAGGTCAAATTCAGGACCGGGGACATAGGCCTTCGAGAACGTCGACGAAGACATAGGACGGTAGACGAGGAAGACGACGAGTTCAAATGTGATTGCGGCTTCGAATGCGAAGACCGTGTTCATGTAGTCGCGGAATGTCCGTTGTACAAGAAGGAGAGGGACGTGTGCGTGACTGAGCTGGGAAAAATAGAAGGGAGGTACAGGGAGGTGTTTGGGGCATGGAATAGAGAGGAAAGGACGGTAGCTGTACTGGGACATAGGAGGTGGGTTGAAAAGGCGGAAGGGGTATCTTTAGGATAATAGACAGACAGACTAGGGAAAACATTTTTGAGCCACCTTTGGCAAAGTAGGAAGGAACGATTGGCCATCGGTGATCGGTCCTGTGGGAACAATGCTCCGTCCTCTCGAGGACGCGTGGTCAATGGTCTAACCGCTAAGGCATGCAAAAGAGAAGAGTACGCCCCCCCCCCTGAGCAGGATGCAGCGCACCCTTCTCACACGACTCGCCTAAAAGCGTACGGTGCCTCGCGCTTGGTGATGTAGCCTGGTCCGGTGAGAACCCGGCGTGCTCCGTCCCGGCTTTGGAGGTTTGTGGAGAAAGGCAGCTTGGCCAGTGAGGGCCGAGACGAGAAAGTCTTGCATTAGAAGGGAGAGGGGACAGCAGAGAACACTCCGGTCCGACGACCCGAAGAGAAAGTCACCACACCCATCCGTCACGCAATTCCGATCACTCATCGAATCTCCGAAGAAACTCCCTGTTCCTCCGCAATCTACCAGTTGCAATCGCCGTAGATCCATGTCCCCTATTCAACCATCTTTACTATGCTATGAGCATATCTAACATGCGGCATGCACTAGTATGAGTACCCTCCCCCGCCCCCCTCCCCTGACCGTGCATGTCTGTCATTTGTACTCGCGGTTAGCGGATCTTTCGCAGACTTCGGCCTTCTTCTCTGCATGCCTTGATCAGACCGACGCGTGCGTCCGTATGCACGACGTCCGCAAAAAAGGCCGAGAGGAAACAAAAACCGGGCATGGCCACTGGAAGAACTTTTTTCTTGCTTCCAAGCATGAGAGGAATGAGGAAGGTCGGTGCCCCGCACCTACCAATTTGTTGTGTCTGTGATGATGACATGCTAAGCGCTACCGATGTAGCATCGAGGGAGCGAATGATGCTAGCATCAGCGACGAGGCACACGAAGAAGCTAAAAAACAAAACAGACACGAACAAACTCCGAACAAAAAAAAAGAAACGGAGATCAGGCACCGCAAATCACCTTTCTTCTTCGCGTCTCACACAACGGAGTTAATCCCCTTATTCCTATTTTGCACAAACAAATAAAACTTTTCCAACCCCACCAACAACCTACCTGAGCGACACTATAATAATAATCTCCCGTGCGGATTCCAATCTACGTACTTCCAATTTAATAACCAGGTGGATAACTTCGTTGTACGGAGGTAACGCAAGAAAGTAAATTTGACGAGAAAATAGAAATTAATCCCCCCCCCCCCTCCCCACCACGCGCAACGCCCGAAAAGTGAAAAGGCCCCTGCAGGACTTAATCAAAAAATTTGGGCCTGGGATGTACGCCTGGCTGTTTTCTTGGGACCTCTCTCGAAATGCGAACCTGACCGGTGACCTCCGGCTTATGCGACCTGACCGGTGACCTCCGCCTTATGCGACGTCATCGGGTATCTTTATCCGTGCAGTGTCTTCCCCCCCCC